TCGATGACAAAAAAACCATCCTTGCAATGAGTGTACAACTAGTCCTCTTCTTATAGTCTCAATCAATTATGTAAACTATTAAGCCGCCTTGTATGTAACGAATATAAGATTCAGTGATACTACTCAAAGAAAGTTCAAGATTTCTGTCATCTATTCCTTTCCTACGTAAGTCAGTTTATGTAATACTGAAGAGATTTTATGTTTTAAATTTATACATATATCTGAATTTTAAATTTGATTCTGACAAAGCACATTTATAAATTGGTTCCGACATGGCAAATAAATGCTTATATCAGCTAATTAAAACACACAAAATGAAATGGGTACATTCAAACCGCCCATATTTATCGTTCTACAATTTTGAAACCTTTCTTTTCACAGTCAGCCTCAGTTTTTTATTAGAACACTCCCGTCTGTTGGGTAGTATTTTATGCTCCACTTTTTGGCATAATTTTCATTTTCTGTTGAACTTTTATAATCTAGATTGAATTTTGAGTTTGTGGCATTGTCAGGCTTCCATCCATGATTTTTTACTGCACATTCAAATTACTTTCAAAATGCAGTTGTCGAGATTCTCAAATATTTAATGGTGATGATGCAGGTCGTAACGTAATCACGTGTTGTTTCACTCCACTTAGGCTATAAAAAGAGAATGAATGAGCTATAATCAAGTGACTGTTTAGATTTGTTGCACAGATACTTTACGTTACTCACCAAAATGGCTTTGTGCAGTTCACAAGTGATTAAATGAAGACCTATACATTATATAATTATATCGAAAAAACATCGGTCAAGTGGATCAAAAATTTTAAGTTAGTAAATGCTGAAAAACTAGTATGGGCCTAGTGAAACAACAGAACATGAGAAATCACATGTTGGATTAGCTTTTACGCCTGGACACCAATAGGAAAACCTGAATTCAAGTGAGATACCGGAAACCATTTACTTACATGGGACACACTCATTGAATTGTTGATAAAATGTTGTGTATAGGAAATATGTATTTATGTTAAGCTCTCTTAACAACATACCGTTCAGAGTTATATTGTAATGCCATAAAAATATGTGTATCAGCCGGCAAAACTTCAACAATCTATACATGTTCAGTTAGAAATGTTACACTAACGTCCTGTTACGATTTAGACTTAGAAAATTTAAATAAACAATGAAAAAAACTTGGAGATATGAAAAGACCGGTATTTCCAGCCGAAAAAGGCAATGGGGTTCAAATATTGAAAAGTAGTGTTAACCAATGAATCTTCAAACGTCTTTCTCCTATAATAAAAGTAAATGAAATAGTTGTATTGGTTAGGTAAATGGAGTGGACCGCTTTCTATTTTCATGACATCAGAAGTGGGCTATGTAGAGCTTTAATTAAATTGTATATTTTCAAAAATGGAAAGCACAATACGTCTGTTTGAATGTTCAGCTTTAAAAGTCTAATTATTTTGCGTTGTATCTTCATTGTTAGAGTTAATGAAACAGTTGTTAACTTAACCAATTGATGACTGAAGAAAAGGCCATTAGAAATTCACAAAAGTCAGCAGACTAATTTTGACTCCATCCACCTGAGCTACAAATAATTTCCATTCCATTGTCAATAACATTTCGCTTCATTTCCAACAAAATATCGCGAGATACAACTTTAAGTCTTTTAATTATTACTAATTCTACAACTTACATACATTAAACTCATATCTAAAGGAAGAAAATATTGAACACGTAGCCTTAAAACATAACGTATAGTGCTGTCACAGTTATATCAAAAATTTGCAATGCATATTAATGTGACACTGAAATTGATATATCTAAACTAGCTGTTGGTCCTTAATCATTGCAAAGCTTATATTCAAAATAATTAGAGATTTCCACATATCCAAAACAGGAACTGCGTCACTCATACCTCAAGCACTGAGTGTACATTGAATGAAAAAGACCAACAACCAATCTCTCATTTTCTCTCTCTCTCCCTGTGTCTATATTTTATTGCATTGAGTTTTAGTACTGTCACCTTGTTCTCAGTAAGAATGATTTGGTCGATTTAACTCAGAGTAGAATCAGTACTAACTCCAATCGGTTAGAAGAAAATGTGTCAGTTCTGATTGTTCTCAAACTCTGCTTCGAAATCAATAGAACGAAGTTCGATATCAGGAATGTTCATATCAGATTCCTACACACGTAATAGATTTATTTGTTGAAATAAAATGTCATATTATGGAAACTTTCACACAATCGCAACCCATCGATAACTCAGCCGAAATTAATGCCATCTATTAATCAGTTCAGTAAAGATTGGTATTGAAGCACAACTATTTCTTTTGTTCGTCAACACACTTAATAATTGTGAAAATACAGTCGATTAACGATAGAATAAACGTGGTAATGTGAAGTAAATAACCCTGATAGTGTCAAATTATGCTGTATCCAATTTGTCGTGAAGGTGAACTATCATAAACGGAAATGTTTCCTGTTGCGAATGTAGGGGAAGAATTGTGCTAACATCTTGTCTTTAAATGTGACTTACAGAAATTAAATTGCAAGACCCATTTCAACAACTTCTGAAAGATGTAATAAATGTCAAATAGCGTTCTTCTTGTTAAAACATCGGTTTCAGTGTTAATAATGTTGAAGCAATATCACCAAGGCGGGAATAAGTGAATGACAGACGTACTACTTTTGAAGATATTTAAAAAGCTGAATGGATTAAACGGCGATTAAACTCGAATCGTGAAAGAGACGTCAAAGCCAGAATCAGAAAATAAAGCAAGACAGGCCTTCATTAGTCTGAAATCAGTGTGGAGATCAACTGCACTGCACTTCACTAGACTCAGCATAAAGAACGAAATCCGGATTTTCAACACTATTGTCAGTCAAGTCAGTGCTTCCATGTGATGATTGAGAGACTTGGCACGTCAAGAAAAGCATTTCCAGCAAACTACAGACATTCATCAACACCTGCCGTCTACGCTCAGTCGATACTGAAGATCGGATGGCCAGAATGATAAGAATCAGCAACAAGGAAATCTGGCTGACTGGCTGTCAACGAACCAACCAATCAAGAACCTATCGCCCAAGAAATATGCAGAAGAAATTGGAAATGTATCGGCATACACTGACAAGACCATTGGGAAACATCAGATGCCAGGTCAGGCACTTGAGTGGAACCCATAGGGGAAACGAGGAGTTGGGCGTGTGAGGATGACATGGAGGAGGTGATGTTAGGAAGGAATGAAAGGTTTTGGGCAGTGGTGGACCCAGGTTGCAAAGACTGTACAGAAGAGAGTGCAATGGAGGTGTGTTACTGAAGCCGTATGTTTCACTAGGATCCCAAAGGACAAATAATAATAATTTATAATAATAGCGATAAGCAAGCTATAAAAAATGGACCAAATTTAACTTGAATTGGATTCACCTCTTCCAACTACCTTAAGTATTCACTAACCCACTCAACTATTTTATACATTTGCATCAATTAATGTCTATGCCTACATATTTATGTTTCCACTCAGGATTGGTTAGAGTGCTGTAAATTTTGTACACAGTGCAAATCCCTGCCTATTGGTTTAAGCCAATAAGAAGCAGTTACTTAGAATTAATTTTGACGAATCAGCCGAAAGTTGAGCTGCAAATCATATCACTACGTGATTCAAGGAAAGATGCAGTTTACGTCTATCGACCATTGTATTCAGACTACTCTACTGATCGGCATGTTGACCTACATGAGAAATTGTACATGACGGATGTGACCTGCCTTAGTTATGTCCACCCACTCATCTCGTACAAACGCACTCGTGTGTGTCCGCATATGTCACCGTGTGTGCGTCTTGTGCATGTGCGTTCCAGTGAAGAAATATCCAACAGTCATGCAGGCGTACAGGCTATTAATTGTCACCGAATAGATTGTCATCAAGACTAGTCCTAGCGTGAAATCAAGATCACAAATTATGCTATCTACACAACCAAACCATAAATGATGTGTGTTTTGACACCATATACTGCTGGTCAGTCTGCAGGTTGTTCAATAAAACGGGTCTACGGACAGAATCAGAGGCAGAAATATATTCTAGGAAGACAGGTCCAATATACCTAGCACTATTGTCCAGTCGGGAATGACAATGATATTTTGATGTGGAACAACTGAATCATCTATAGTAGCCCTTCTGGACTTTTAGGTGAATTTATTCGGATGTCCGAAGACCCCCAAAGGACGTTCAAACACACGAAATGACAGTCTTCCCATTGTTTTTAGGAATGGCAAGGTTATCGGGACTGATCAGAACCACACTTTTGCTCCAGAAAATATGGGCCTAGGTGCCGGAAATATTTTGGTTCCCTTCATGGTGGTTGGTACGTCACTGTTGGCAGAGGACTCATTAAATATGCTTGTGAGTGGTAGACATAGAATACCTGACTTACTATCTGGTGCAAGCCTTCTCGAAGGTTGGGATGATTCTAGACATTTAAACGCTTCTGTTTCATTGAAGAAGACCGCCTTCTATTGTGTGAAAATATCATTAGCGCGTTTGTGCACGAATTACCTATTTAGTGTATAGACGCTTTCATAAGCATCATTTCTGATTTTTCTCTTGTTCGTAATATCATTAAAGAGTCTTCATGTCCGAGAAGGTTTTCTACATGACATAATTTACTGGTCTATAAAAGCTTAGAAAAATTATTTCAGCTGGGCAGCAAACATCAAGATTAAGGACTATGTGTAACTGCGCCGATTGCTTCTTCTAAAACATCATTTTCAAATATATCCAATTCTGTCTTTCGCAACGTGTACATAGTCATATTGTCGTGTTAACTTGTCTCTCCGGGCAACTGGTCTGATTTCTGGTTAGTAGCCTGTCCGCATTGATTTAAATCCAAGGTCACAGATTTCGATTCTATGACTGGTGTAGAGAAAATTTCTTAACCAATCACAAGTGAGACACGAAAAACACAGATAACATAAAACACACGAAAGATTTACTATAAATATATATTTGTGATGAATGTTTACACATGAAAAGACTTTAAAAGATGTAGCGACGAATGGGGTTTGCTCATATATATATTTGTATTGCTTTGCATCCCATTCCGTTTCACATCCAATGGCCATTATATAAGGCATGTATGACGCCTACGCAAGTGTCACACATCAGTGACAAAAATTGTATCGACAAAAGGATCAACCAATGGCAAATGAGTAAACGTTAAGTTTTGCTGTCTGCATGCAGCCTTCTATGTGTGACCTGTCTAACACACAATCAGTTCTGACGATAATCTACGAACCACAACTGCAGAAACATTTCAATTAGTGAAATGACCAGCACACCACAGGTAGGGGATGTGGCATCAAAGCAACTGAAGCCAACAACCACAGTGACGCGATACACAAATGAGGAGGTGAATGCATTGACTGAACTCGTAGTCAGATACAGAGACACTTGGAAAGACAAACGTCAGTTGTCCGCACTCGTGCAGAAACATATGTGGATGCAATTTTCACAATATCTGCAGTCGAAGGGTGGCCGAGACGACACTGGACTCGACTTCGTCGGAAGGGTCAACAAATACTGCGGAAGTTGGAGACAGTGAGAAGCAGTCAGCAGACAGAGAAGACATCGAATGAGACGGTATGTAGTACCAGTTGCAGTGTTAGTGGGAATGTGAATGGAAGTAGTGATGGGAATCAACTAGTAGGCAGAGAGTGTGGCAGCTGGGTAAGTTCATATTTCACAATTAGATGATATATCATGTTTCTCGTATTGCATTAGATGGAGGCTGGTGGTGCATATAACAAAGACGTGCGTCAACTGCGTCCTCCATCGCTCACGCCTTCACCAGTGGTTCGAATAGCACCTAGAATTCCCACCCCATCGATGCCTGCTACCAGCCACACACCACTGACTTCCGCATGCACAACGGGTCCGAAAATCCTGAATGCCTTCTCAACAGCTCAGATACCACAACATCTGACAATTGCATACAACATGCAGCAGAGAAACACTCACGCTGAAGGCAGTGAGGTAACCGGTTCTATGACAATAGTAAATCCAGTCAGTGTCTCATCGGGTGTTGGGAATGGCGGAAATACAAACAGTTTTCATGTTGATGATGTGCGAGTTGTGAATTCATTGAATGTGCGGTGTAGCACAGCAGTGAGTGGGACGATTGACTTGTCGGTGTCGAGTGACGAAGAGAGTCCTCAAGAGATGTGTCTGAGGAGTGATCATTTGAATGTGGATCATGTCAGTGAACCGGTGGAGAATACTGACGACCGTTATCCGTAAGTATGATACCTCGTTTAATTTTTCATGGATTAACTCTTCGTGTAAACCGATTTACTGGATGTTCCGCACTGCTCTTAACTATGAAAGTGATTTAATGTCTTTAGTTATACTTTACTGCTCCAATGTGTATTGCGTGTGATTCCCGCGTTATCTGCGTTGTCGGCAGACTTCATCAGATCCTGTCTATTGAAAACGTCTTTTGAGTGCGCTTGATGTAGGACTCAGTCTGGATATATTGTGAAGCGAAACTGGTTAGTGTCAAAATTCAGTGGGAATTGTAGTTCCCCGATAAGTGTAACAAGGTAAAGTAATGTAACTAGATAAAAGAACGAAGTAGGTGTTGCGGTGATAAGAATATACACAAGGTGTTGAATTTCAAGTCACCTGGAGATAGTCATTAGTCCAGCGCATGTAACAAATTCTCTCGCGATGAGGTAGTTGTTAGAGTGTTTTTCTTTGAAGGTGGCCCAGTGAATTGTTGTTGTATATTTTGATGGAGTATTGTGTTAAAGTGCCTGTGAAGGATGACTAACTGACACCGACAAAGTCAACGCAAAACCTCGTACGGGTGTATCAGCTCAAGTTGCCACACTTCTCAGTAGTATACAAACAACAGGTGGATAGAAAAGGAGCAATGTTAAAGTAGATAAAGTATTGTAGGAAAATAAATAATCTGAAGATAATAGATAGTGCGAATATTCAGAGGACTGTAAGGAATGAATACATCTGCACCACTGTGACCGATTTTCAGGCATGCCACCGAAACTCCTCAACTGCTGGTTCGTTTCTTCTCGATGATCCTAACTAGGCAGTCGACATCTATTCATACGGTTCAAACAAACAGTCATCGACTTGTTTCACTTCTTCATCTGGCCTCCCTAAACTCTTTCAAACTAATCCAACTTCCCCTAGCATTTCACGTCGAGGTAGACGGTAGCTGTGCATGCGTAGTAAGTGTCCAGGCCATCTCAATCGATTGATGTCCACAACCTTATCGATCGACTTCCCTGTCTTGCCTAGTGCACTTCGTCTGACCTCAACAGTGAAGGACGAAGTAAATAGTAAGTATGAATGCAGAAATTTGCAAGTTATTGGTAGGAGGTTCTAAGAGATAAATAAATGTGGCTTGTTGTTATACGTTTCGGAGAATGCACAGTCTGGGGGGATATCAAATATTTTCAGATTTATGCTTTCCAATCACCTCAGGCATTCAGCAAAAATCAAAGTTCTTTCCCATTTCACTACCGATGAGTTATTCAAGAAGGTCGTCGTCGTTGAATTACAGTCAACTGGAAGTCGATAATCGATCACAGGCAGGTATCGTAAGGTGACTAAAGTTACTTTGGTTCGATGAGGCCATTTGGTGAATCAAGTATGCCACCACCGAAATGAACCAGAAAGATTGCCTCATCGAATATCTTTTTTACCACGAAGATATTCTGCCTGCGGTGTTCTTTTGGTTACCATGACTCTGTTGGTCGTTGAGTTTTGCAAGGGATATAATGTCTCATAATTCTAATTTCCTGCTTATTTGTCATTTCGGTCGATATTCTAAATGCAATTTATCTGCATGTGTCAAATGACTGTAGTATTCACATGTAATTCTTGTTACCTAAAGCAGCTTTAAGGCCAGTATTCGGCGTAATTTGAGTGAGATTTGAAGATGCTTTTCATCCGGAGACTGTCAAAATCCAACAGCTCCCAATGGTTTCGCATAGGCTTTTTTCAATTCTATTTTGTCCATCGCTAACAAACAGCTTGTGCTGCAAGCATATTAAGTAATTTATTGACCATTTTCTTGACTGCTAAAATGTCTAATTATTACACTTGTTTATTTTGACTGTAAATGTGGTTTGCTTGTGAGATGAAGAGAGCTGTTGGGTTGTTTCAGTAGTCGGTAGTTATTATGCTGTTCATGGGAGTGGTGCGTGATTTCATTGATTGTGGTATTTTATATAGACTGAGTGAATTACTTTGTGATAAGTCTAGTCGTTGCTAATGGTTGATTAATGTGTATTGGTGTGTTTATCAGCAAGGGAAAACAAGATTGAAAAGGAGTATGTGTGGCGAAATAGTAGTGCTTTGTGTGTATCTCTCATGGGTTTGTGTATCTGACTGTTTTCAAACAGCTGGCATATATTCGTTAACCGATTAATACATTTCTGTGCGTTTCATGAAACGGTACATTGTCATCTGGAAAACGTATTTGTTGGTTACATCTAGTTAGAGTTATGCAAGTAGACTGAGGCTCAATAATTTCTAATAGTAGATGTTTCTTCGGTGGAAAGTATTTATCTGATTGATTGTCTACAAGACGAAGACTTTTTGTAAGATTCTGCAGAGGCCAACTCTCATTGCGATTCATGTAGTGCATTAATCAATACTATCTTACTACCTTCCACTGTGTAGAAGGAGATCGAACTTGTGGTACTGCGTATCCATGTATTTTTCGTGGATAGTATCGAATTCTATATTCGTTTGTCAATTATTATTACTATTAT